CATCGCGCTCCGTGCAAATCAAATTTTCAAATTAATTTTTCATAGAAATGGTACGGAATACGGATCGTCACTTTTTATTTGCTTTCCTATTATTACACGTACAGCCCTCTGCAGACTGCGTGGTAGGTATTCTTTTTTCGCCAAAACCGATAATAACTCAAAGGCTAAGTTATCAGTCGGTCGGATCTCATTGCATATAGATGCACCATGCTCCACTCCTTCGATTGGGTATATCACGGAACAAAGTATACGCCTGGTGTAGCAACAAAATGCAAAAGTTCGTTTTGGGGGCGGATATAAACTTTTGTGTGTTGTTGCCAAACTAGATGGAAAATATATACCAAAATAAGCCCAATCTAAGGTGCGGAGTCTCGTGCGTCTTGCTGTTACGATGTCCGAGTGACCGTTAGCATAGTATTCGCGTTATTCTCGGTTTTGTTGAAAAAAGAATACCTACCACGCAGTTTGCAGAGGGCTGTACATTTGTCTGCAAAATGATACAACATCGATTTCATTTTCATTCCGTCAAGCCGTTTTCCAGCGGCATCGGTTTTCTTCCCACAATGCATGAAATCGGTCATTTTTTCACAACCGGGGGTGCTGTCTTGCACGTGGCGCGTGCTATACTATGAAACCATATCAATACGCTAGGCCCATCTCTCCTCTATCCAGTGGTGGCAACCCCACCTCGCTTCGGCAATCTGTCGCCGAGTTTTGGGCCCGGGAAGTGGGCGTCGCAGGCCGGTTTTCGCCCGATCTTCGATTTGACCGTTTCCAGTGATAACCCTATGGCGCACGCGAGCGCGTGCTGACGGCGCACCCCTGGCCCGATCACGCCCAAATTTTAATACCAAGGCCGCCCACGCCCACAGATTCGGCATGCCAAAGTTCACGCCGATACGCGCTGGCGGAGCGACTGATCCTGGCCCGGCTCACCCAAGGCCGTATATAGGAGGTAGAATGGTTAGCCGTTTGTTTACATCGGTGACCTTGACAGATGACGTCAGCGGGTGTCTACCAATCTTCGCCAATATTAATCTTCCGAGGATTTTATACTCTAAGGCAGTTTGATATTAACCTTTAGGCTCCCTTTGAGCCTAAAAAAGATAATTTACTGCACAGCAAAGTCTTGACAATAACTCGACACCCCGTGACGTCATCTGTCTCCTGAGCTCTGCCTATGTGGCAGCATAGAACCGTAACCCCCTGGGCTCACCTACCTCAGTGAGAGCAGGGACATGGTGCCGCCGGAGCAGGTGGGCTTCCGAGCTCACCGCTCTGTGGAGGACAGCATCGGCCGCCTCGTGCAGGAGGTTCAAGATTAGTGATGTCAATTACGGAAAATCGGAATACCGATACCAAACCAAATAGGCAAATACAACCAAAACCATGGAGAAATACCGAAAGCAAACCAACTTGGGAATATGAGAGAAATACCAACTTTTTACCGATTTCTTAGCCTCTTATACATTAGTGAGGATTCATGATACCAACAAAATACCAAACACATCAGGACTGAAATACCAAATACCAAGTTGGTATCGGTTTGGTATCGGTATACCAAAAAGTTGGTATCCGATTGACATCTCTATTCAAGATGGGTGGCAGCTCTCCCGACCGAGACACCAGAACCATCAAGACGGCGCCACAGCGCAGAAGTACGTCCTCCTCGCGTTCGATTTTGCGAGGGCGTACGACAAAGTCGACCACCGCCTCCTCAGACTGCGGTTGCTGGAACAAAGCCTCCCGGCTTGCATGGTGAACTGGGTGTGGCAGTGGCTTAGAGATCGTCGAGTCAAGGTAGAGGTGAACGGGGTGCTCAGCGGGGAGAGAGTGTTTAGAGCGGGCCTGCCCCAGGGCAGTGTGCTCTCGCCGTCCCTGTTTTTGTTATGGGCGGCGAACTTGTGCAAGATCTCCGCGACATCCCCGGTGTCTCACCGTACATGTACGCGGACGACACCGCAGCACTGTGCGCAGGGAACTCCATCCAGATAGCCAAGGACAGGGCCTAGAGGGCAGCAGACGCCCTTCTCGCCTGGGCAAAGAAGTCGAAGATGGTCGCTGCAGCTGAGAAGACCCAGATGCTGGTGTTGTCGCAGTGGCACTGCGACGCAGTCGACTGCCAGATTAAGATGGCGGGGAAGACAGTGTCGGCCACGGACTCCATCAACCTACTCGGCGTGCAGTTAGACCGTCTGCTCCACTTCGGCCCCCACTGCCGCCAAAAGCTGAGGAGAAAGGTCCGCCCACGCACCGCGCAGCTGCGTCAGCTGTCCGGACGCTCCTGGGGCCTCGAGGAGGACCTGCTCCGGACAGTAGCCAGTGGCTATGTCCGAGGAGCCCTGGAGCATGCCGCAGCAGCCTGGCTTCCTGCCACGCCGCCCTCCCACGTGGAACTTCTGGAGAGGGAAATGAGAGCAGCGGCGAGGGTCATCACGGGGTGCACTCGCAGACTCCGTCGGACGCGCTTATGGCGGAAGCGGGCCTTCTCCCGGTATCGGTGAGGAGAAGGACACTGGCTGCGCGATTCCTGGCCAAGGCGACTGCGCTCCCCCGGAGGAGCCGCGTTATCGAGTGGCCGCGTCGGACGCCCCGGCCCGTCTACGATCCGTGACGGGCTGGAGAACCCTGGGACGAGAGATGTGGGAGGCGGCCGGTGTCGGCCCCCCTATCGACCCAGTATCGCAGGCGAGCGTCCCCCCGTGGGAAGTGAAGAGCGGGGTCACCATCAGCCTGGACGTGGGACCACTACCACTGAATGCGACTTCCACACAGATGAGAGACGCGGCGACCTGTCACCTAGGTAGCCTGCCACAGTGAGCGACTTGGGTTTGGTCCGACGGCTCGGTAGAGGGAGGCATCACAAACGGCGGCGCTCGCGTTTTCATTGAGGACCCGGACGGCCAACAGCACCTACTCACGGTGCAGGCGGGGAACATCTGCTCCAGCTACCGTGCTGAAATGGTAGCCCTCAGAGAAGCGCTGAAGTTCCTGCTGGACCAACAAACCCTCCCTCCTGAGCCGATCGTGATATGCACGGACTCCCAGTCAGCACTGGCGGCACTCCGGGGTGGCCCCTCTACTCAAACAACACTCATAGGAGGAGAAATCTGGGCGGCGCTTCAGCAGCTGTCGGCCCGCGGCAGAAGTACCTACCTGCAGTCGGTACCTTCCCACTGCGGCCTAGCATTTCCAATTCCGCCAATGTTGCCATTCCTTTGGATAATAAATAATCCCTCGAATAACTCATCTACCAGATCTAACCTAATTCATGGACCAGTTCAGTTGTTGCAGAACGTGGCCGCGAAAGTTTCATTGTTTGTTCGCTAAATATTGTTGCCAAGTCAAATTTCCCTATGTGTAAAAACGTTGTTCTGACACCAGCTTTATAGTTTTATTGGGAGCTTTCGAGAGCACTTCGGCTCCCTTCTTCAGCCAAGTCACACAAAACACTAAAATACAGTAATACAAAACATTAATATGTCCTTCGGTTCGAGGTCGAAATCGTAGGTAGGTATAGGTCAAGTAATCTTATTTCTTTAAAAAGTCATGCGTTGCCGCTTAACCCTATTCCTGGCGGGCTCCGCCGGGACAAGGAACTGGCGGGGGGGGGGCCGATTCGGCCCCCCCTTCAGATCTCAAAAACTACACGTCGCAGCGACAAACGGCGAACGGCGTTTGATAGGTCGTTTAAAGATCTACAACTTTTACATAAAACATTTTCAGGTCAGGTCAATATTGAGGTCACCAGAGGTCATCAACGATAAAATGTTTTGGAATTAGTTACCTATATAACTTTTAAACTAAGAAACATAGAGACATAAAACCAATACATTTTTTGTTGCTCTCGCCGAGGCGATGCGAAATAAGTATGTGATGACCTTCACAGGTCAATTTAAAATTTGACCTGAGGTCAAGGTCAGGTCATTCATCAATGAGGTTGTGGGGTATGGTCATGCTGCATACCAAACGACGCGCCTTGACCAGGCGAGCAGTTTAGTACCACTTACAAGTCTTTAGCACCATCATGTCGTGATTTATTGACAGAAAAACGATTTATGACGTCACATGACCTCAGATGACCTTTGCCGGTGCCCCTGTCAATTAGCGGCACCAGGATCATCACCGATGAGATAATCTTCCATAATACTGAAAGAACTGGGTGGTTTTGACTCGTTTACACGAAGCAGGAGGCGTTTCAATATTTTCCCATAGGCTTGCAATGTAAAGGTCACGAGTCTGGCCTGACCTCAGGTCACAGATATGAAAATTCTGAAATATTCAAATTGCACATACTGGTACCCTAACTAAAGCCTGAAGAGAAGAAATTGATCGGTCAAAAACTCTAGCTCTGGAGTGATTGCAAACTTTTCTGAGGTAGGGTCACCAAACCGCCTCTGGTGACCTGACCTGAGGTCAGATCAACTCAAAATTTTCAGAAATGTTGCGTAAAAGCCTTTTAGAAAAAGTCAGAAAATTTGAGCTTCCTAGCTCAAAGCGTTTGGGAGATATCACCATAAAACCTCAGGGGGGGCTCCTGAGGCCCCCCCCCCCGCCAGGAATAGGGTTAAAGAAACTAAGCACACTTTTCCAGCAGCCATTCGAATGGCATGCAACTCAGGACTCTATGACCTCTCATTTGGTCACAATGTCATTTTAAAATGTGTCAGTTTTTCGTGAACAACCCTATATGATAGCCCTTTTACTAGCGATAATTTCCAATTTAATAATTTTGTGTTATTCACACTATGTTCAAATTGCTCCACCTGTTCAAATTACCCCACCCTACCCTAGTCACCTGTAGTGTATTGCTCTGCCCTGGCCTCGGTGAGGTCAAGGCTTTTCCATGACGTCACTGCCCCGGTAGCGGCGGGACGCGCGTATGTGAGCGGAGCGGCCGCTGCGTCTGCCCTGGGGCGTTGTGAGGTCGGCCGCGGACTGGGAATGGCGGCAGTGTAGTTTGAGAGCCAATACAGACAGGTACGCTACATCGCCTTTACCTGATTAATCATGCTGCCCAGCAGCCGTGCAGACGGTGGCGGCGCAAAGGCGCGCTGCTCTGACGGCTTCTTCAGCTGGCCGGGTTCTGGAGCTGACTCGAGCTCCCAGTGGCCTGACACGTCAAACGGGCGCAGCTCGATGCGCAGGTGCAGGTACGGCTCTGAGGCACTGCCGGACGACAAACAACGCTATATGGTCAAATGGGAGCCGCTGCTAGTAGACAGCAGTAGCACAATAACCCTCATCGTATAGCTAGGCTAGACTACAAGAAACGCATGCACGTTACGTTACCCTTGTAAACATCCGCAAAGGTGCTTAACTAAACTCAACTTAACTACCCATACCCGGCCCAAGCGGTGCACCAAATTCGAGCGCAATCGGCCGAGCCGTAATCGAGATAAAGAACCAGCCCCTTACACGTGCGCACGTGCAAACTGAGAGCTACACCCATGGTAATTGTATTTCAGTTGAGACAAGTAGTGATAATAACACGGAACAAAAATGATAGACGAACGCGTTTCGGCTAAATCGCCGTCATCAGCGTCTAAAATGAGAACAAGAGGCACACATCGAGCAAATATCACAGTTCAATCGTTTTGATTTTTACATACACTTTTAAACAAGCTGTTTCCGCCGCCGGGCAAACGAGTTCCTTTTAAAAGTAAAACACAATAGATTAAAAGTAATTTCCTACATGCCGGGGTATGTCTTAAGCACAGCACGAGCCGGGCAGTAAAACTATGACCAAGAAACTGTCGGTGTCAAAATGCCATGTTATTTGATAGGCCGGGCAGGAAACAAAAGTTTACTGCCCGAGTTTACTGCCCAGGGCAATGACCTCTAAACTACAGTTTATTGCATTAGCCCAGAGGTATAATTGACAGGGAATGTATAATTGACATCATTATTGCATGATATTTGCCACGTAAAATTAGAAAACTAACATTTTTTGGTAAAAAATATCTGCTCTGCTTATCAAGGGTTTTGAAATATTTTGCATTGGCTACAAAGCCGAAATTATGTTAAGATATGCGCCTAACAATCGAAATCCGTTATCGCTTGTTACCTTATCTTCGTTTGTTATATCCACTGAGACCTTGGGCCTAAGTTATTGCGTTATCATTTGACAGTTGTAGTCCTTTCCTCGAAACAAACATATAAAATATGGAAAATATAATGTATTTCACGAAAGTTTACCCATAGGGCATCAACAAAGTACGATTACATAAATAAAGAAAAGATTCTTGCAAGAGCACTGGAAAATTCACGTTTAATCACTTGGATTATTATGCCTTCTTCTTGTTCTTATGTCCTGGCAAATTATTCATGTACCTATTATGTTCCTTGGATATCCAGTTGTTGTGCCATTCTGAGTTGATATTTTCAGACGCGATTCTTTTTGAAGTAAGGTGTTTTGATGCATTTTCTTCTATAAATTTCCTTTAAAGCTTTATCCACAGCAGTAGCGCAATCACTGTTAGGAAATTATGGACAAAACACAGCAGTAGCGCAATCACTGTTAGGAAATTATGGACAAAACACAGCAGTAGCGCAATCACTGTTAGGAAATTATGGACAAAGCAATTGTATAAAAGTATCACCAAAACCTGTCGAAACTACTTAGCAGGTGTGCGGCATGTAGGAAAAATCTTACTGACCTCAGCCGTACGAAATTATTTGGAAACTCGGCTTGCAAAATTTGACTCCGGCCCTCGTGCTCCGCACTCGGGCCTCCGTCAATTTTGCAAACCTCGTTTCCAAATAATTTCGTCGGCCCGGTCAGTAATATATATTACTGGTTTTAACGGTAACAAATCATCCGGCAGGAGGAAAACAAAACAAAAGTCGATCAACTAATCAAAGTCGAGATTCCGTACAACCAAGTACAACTAAACAAATCAATATAGGGTAAGTGCGGGTAAGAGTACGCGGTTGGTACGAGTACGCAACAGCGTTTTTTTGTTGGTTGTAAATGAGATAGAATACCCATCTTTGGACCATAGAAGGGACTTTATATGGCGCATCTGCAGTCTGCACAGCAACAGGCAAGCGTGTTGATGCGTTTTTGTGGTCTTGGTAAGCGTTTATTTGTTTTTGACCATATACGTTTAACGCTGAGGGAGAACAAAAAATTGTGTGGTAGTCATCTGTCCTCCATTTTCGCTAATTCTTCTGTATGATTTAGAGCATAGGCTTATGGTGTATTGTAAGACCACGTCGTTTCTCGAATCTACCGATGCGTTTCCAAACTAGGATATGAAGTTCCAATAGGTGACACTAGGGTGACCCGCGTGCTCCGCAACGCGAAAAGGGATATTTTCGATCGGCGGGTGTTCGGTTGTTCTTGTGTCGGTTGGGTTATCTATCCATTTCGGTCGATTGCTTTTTGACGGCTAAACGTTTTGGTTAGTGGAAAAAATATCCATCGCATCGAGGTGCCCGTGTCTGATAAGCATGCTTTCCACTTCAGAATCTGTCAAATCTATATTATGAATTATAACATGTCCGTGCGTGCGTTCTCCATCCATCCGTGTGTCATGACTTATGTGTCTTAATGCGCCTGAAAGGCGCCGCGTATCGGCGTGAAATTTGGCATGCCGAATCTGTGGGTGTGGGCGGCCTTTGTATTAAAATTTGGGCGTGATCGGCCCAGGGGTGCGCCGTCAGCACGCGCTCCCGTGCGCCATAGGGTTAACACGGGAAACGGTCAAATCGAAGATCGGGCGAAAACCGGCCTGCGGCGCCTGCTTCCCGGCTGTATAAATCGGCAACGGAGGGTCGCAGCGAGAAGCGGGTTACACCACTCGATAAAGGAGAGATGGGCCTAGCGTATTGACATGGTTTCATAGTATAGCACGCGTCACGTGCAAGACAGCACCCCCAGTTGTGAAAAAATGACCGATTTCGTGCATTGTGACGGGAAAATCGATGCCGCTGGAAAACGGCTTGACGGAATGAAATCGGTGTGGTGCCATTTTGCAGGCAAATGTACGTGTAATCAGAGGATAGCAGATAAAAAGTGATGATCCGTACCATTTCTTTAATAATGAAAAATTAATTCGAAAATTTGATTCGCGCGGAGCGCGGTGTCCTTTACAACATCAAAACGTATTTAAAACGCTAATCAATGGCTATGAAACCTACATATTCGGAAAGAGCATTCTTTTCTGACCAATATCCACCCAAAATATTATCGAAAAGTCAATCAACTTTTGTGAAAATGACTCAAACATACGACCGTGTTTTGTTAACGTTGCAGGTATTTTTCGACAAAATCCGATCGATGGCTTATGGCCGGCAGGTCATACAACTTTTGACAATATAGCTATCAAAGCATGGGCTGCAATGCACCGCCCGCAAAGGGGAATTCCAAACACTGAAAATAAGCGCCTATCAGTAAACAGCACATTATTGTACTAGGAATAACTCAGCAGCTACTGGGCCAATTAAACTGAAACTTGGACTGTGGGTGGAGAGAGCAATAACCTGGCGATGCATGGTCATTGGTCATGTGTGACAGGCAGGGTGGATCGATTGCACGTGCGCACGTGAGGGGTCCGCTTCTACATCTCAAGAACGGCTGGGCCGATTTCACTCAAATTATGTACACTGTTAGGGACAATTTAGAAAGGTGGCTGGCACAAGTCATCTGGAGTCTCAGCTCGCGCGTGCGCACGTGCAGTGGGCCGCTTTTATATCTCAAGAACGACTGGGCCGATTGCGCTCAGATTTGGTACATCGCTTCGATTGAGGGTGAGGAGGTTATGAGTAGGGTAAGGTACGGTATGTGTTGAAGGGTAAGGTATGAGTAGGATAGAGTGTGGATAGTGTATGGGCAGGGCATGGTACGGTATTGGCAGGGTGGGTTATGGGCAGGGCAGGGTATGAGTATGGGCAGGGTAGAGTAGTGTAGGGTAGGGTAGAGTTCAGTGCAATAAGGGCCCAACTCACGAAAGGCTCTAACAACTCGTAACCAGCACCGAGACTTCATACCGTTCAATTAAATCCAAACCTCAAACTTCACCTAGCTCATACAAATAAAAATGTAACCTCATACACCCAAACTAATGGTCCCATCAACAACATCTATCGAATCTATACAGTTATCGCGCAAACATGGCCATCTAGTCTATCTATATTATGAATTATAAGTCGTCCGTACGTTCTCCATCCGACTGTCATGCCTTATGTGCCTTATTGCGCCTGAAAGGCGCCGCGTATCGACGTGAAATTTGGCATGCCGAATCTCTGGGCGTGGGCGGCCTTTGTATTAAAATTTGGGCGTGATCGGGCCAGGGGTGCGCCGTCGGCACGTGCAAAAGGGTGCTCCCATAGGGATAGCATGGTGTCGGCGAGAGCGGCGGTCGGCCGAAAATCGGGCCGACACGGCTCGCTTTCCGGCTTGATATCTCGGCAACGGGTGGACGCAGCGAAAAGCGGTTGCCACCAATGGGTAGAGGAGAGATGGGCCTAGCGTATTGATATGGTTTCATAGTATAGCACGCGCCACGTGCAAGACAGCACCCCCGGTTGCGAAAATATGACCCATTTCGTGCATTGTGACGGGAAAATCGATGCCGCTGGAAAACGATTTGACGGAATGAAATCGGTGTGGTACCATTTTGCAGACAAATAAACGTGTAATGATAGGAAAACAAATAAAAAGTGATGATCCGTACCATTTCCTTAATAATGAAAAATTAATTGGAAAATTTGATTCGCGCGGAGCGCGTTGTCCTTTACAACATCAAAACGTATTGAAAACGCTGATCAATCGCTATGAAACCTACATATTCGGAAAGAGCATTCTTTTCTGACCAATATCCACCCAAAATATTATCGAAAAGTCAATAAACTTTTGTGAAAATGGCTCAAACATACGACCGTGTTTCGTTAACGTTACAGGTATTTTTCGACAAAATCCGATCGATGGCTTATGGCCGGCAGGCCATACAACTTTTGACAATAGCTATCAAAGCATGGGCTGCAATGCACCACCCGCAAAGGGGAATTCCAAACACTGAAAATAAGCGCCTACCAGTAAACAGCACATTATTGTACTAAGAATAACTCAGCTGCTACTGGGCCGATTGCGCTGAAACTTGGACTGTGGGTGGAGGGGACACTCACCTGGCGATGCATGGTCATGTGTGACAGGTAGGGTGGAT